CCCTTGAGTCTAAACCAAGACAGTACAGATATATAGCACAGAGAGCCTTGCCATTCGGAAAAGCTGGGAGTATTAAGACGTAGAGAAAGGAGCGATTATTCAATGGACTGGGTGATTTACATGATGTAATATAACACTATGAAATAATTTGGGAAGCTATCCAAAAGGGGGGAACCTTGAACACTTATATCATGTTTTTAAGGAAGTTAAACTCAATAGTAAAAGACAGTACAGCCCCATAGACGCACACTATCTCTGTATCTCTCCCCCTCGTGTTGTCGCACACACACACGACATGTGACATCGGTGCAGTTAAAAAAGCGTCGTTAGATTGGTGTGATCTTTGATCTGATTGGCTGCAGTACACTAATAGTGTATTGTTATTCTTATTTTTTATAACAGTCTTTATCAGTACCATTTGTGAAATTGGTGCTGAGTCAGTAGAAATAAATTACATCAGGGGAGCCAAGCTTTCTTAGTGTTTGTTCAGAGTCCAGCACTGTTTTGTTTTTTTCCTGCTCCGGCTTCAGTAGGTGTTAAATGAGTACTCCAGCATTTTTCACTGGCATCTCCTTCAGTATACTCATGCTGATTATTCTTACAGGCAATAATTTTGAGTTGTTTCTTTGTACGTAGAAAACAACTGAAAACCTATTAATTCAGAACCCAATTATAATGAAAGCTAAGGGGTAGTCGCTGAATGCTGTGATTATATATAATAAATACATATAACATGAGGCAGTGAATCTCCCTTTTCCAGATGATATGGTACACATCTTGATACATAGTTTGTACAGTTAAACGAGTAACAATTCACCACTTGATTCGCTACTGATCCAATAGGATTTGGTTCAGTGCCGATACGATTCAGTTCTGTTTCGGTTCCTGTTTTGACTCTGTAAGTAACAACAATTTTAAAACATTTCTTCACTTTATTTTATCTGAGAATTTGTACTACAGTACATTAATTCTGTCTGTACTACATTACTTAATGTCATATGTTCTCTCAGGGGTGGGCAATATGGCAAAAAATGATGATATTTAAAGCCATTTTTCGTGATATGTACCACAGTATTTTGACACAGACACAATGCAATGGTAGTGTCATTGAAAAACAGCCATCAAGCCATCAGTGTTTTACACACTGCTGCGTTTTACACAAAGCTTTTGAGTTAGAACCACAAAACTTTGCAAGATCATAAAGCGTATATAGTTTTCATACAGTGTTCATTCAAATATGATTTTTTCCCATAGGAAATTAAAGAATCATTTCTAATACCACTCAGGATAACAAAGAAGCCTAGAAACATCTTAGCAATTACCTGGGATGCTGTAGAAACGGCCTATATGTTAGCAACTATCAAGCCAACTTGTTCGTTCTCAAACGTTCCCCCTTCTAGCTCAAAACCTCTAACAGGTCTTGGGATGACAGAGAAATGAGAGAATGTCTTATCAAAGCTGTTCTTATGAAGTTTTATCCAACTTTGGAACACTGGAGCAACAATAAACTTATTCCAGTTACATTCTCTAAGGTTTTCTGATATCCAGTTTGTGATCAGGTAGGACTATGTGAAAGTACTACACTGGTAAGAAATTACTATAAATTCTTCCCTCTGGAAAACTAATTCCTTTTTGAAAGAACAAATTATACAGATTTACAGCTCAGTTTACAAATAACTTTGACTGAAGGGTTCAAAGTGTTCTACCAAATTATGTGTTTTGTTTAAACGCTTGTTCTTTTCGAAGCACATGGAAATGCATCAAACGTCCATAATAATTAAACGTATGCCACAGTTGTGGCAGATAGATTAGGTTGAAAAGCACTGGAGTATTCCTTCAAAGTAGGGACGTCTCCTAGCTATACTGGACTCCAGCCATGCAGGACTGCAGTTAGGCTGCAGAAAGGAAAGCATGGGTCAGTCCTCCGTCTGTCCTGTTGTCTCCGAAAGATTATGTCACATTAGAGAGTGCGTGGGCGCTCTCAAGTCTGATGAATGGAGAGGCCGCAAAGCGCCAATATCAACAGAGTCTCCGTAGCTGACTCGCGCAGCGGGCTGAAGGCTAGACGAAGGAAAAGGAGAAAAAAGTTGGAAGAGGGGGGAGTTCTGCATCTGGAAGAGGGAATATAAACAGATAAGAAAAGAACGGAGCCATAAAGAAGGACTGATATTAAACTTTGCTTAAGGGAAATTGCATTCATTTAATCAAACTCACTTAGAAATAGAACAGAATAAAAAATGTTTACATTAAGCCTATCTACTTGCTTTCTATATATCCAGTGGAACCTTCGTTTACAGTAGTGAACAGATGCTCCATAACTCAAAGACATCACTATGGAGCATCTGAAAATGACTATATAGCGTACAGTATAATAACGATCATCATGAACTAGTGCATTCTGCCGAAGTACAAAGAGCTAAAAATGCTGCAGCCTTGAAAATATTTATACCAGTGAGCAGGAGTTGAAAAGAAATGGAAACTACAGTCGCTGTAGTATGATGTATGAGCTTATACTTGCAGCTTTTGTAGGGCTGCCACTATTGATTATATTAGTAAATGAGAAATCTACCGATTAATTTGATGATTAATCAAGTGTGGCCGACTAATAAAAATCAACGTAACTGAACAAATCATGCATGTACTTTCAAAGATTCCAAAATACTTCATGTAGAGATGGCACCAATCCAATACCAGGTATCAGTATCAGGCCTGTATCAATAGAAAATGCTTGATTGGATATCAGAGAAAAAAACCCTGTAAAAAATCACTCACATTGTATCATGTCATGTTGTTAGCTAGAGTGCTGTGCAAAAGTCGGAAACGACACTTCATTTATTTCATTTCCAGTCAAAACAGCCATTAATTACAAGCTATTTATTTTTCAGGAGATATTTCTGAAGAGATTATATATATAAGATAATCCACACATAAGGAAGGGAAAAGTCAAAGGATAAAGAGTGAAAAATAGGAGCTTCCAAAACTGGAGTTAAAAAAACTATTAAAATATGTAGGGAAAATTTGACTCCCAACAGCCGTGCAAGACCTGGTAGACCAGCAAAACGGTCACCATCAGATAAACAGCACTCAAAGCTTTCATCTTTGAGAGAGAGGAGAAAATCAAGCTCTACTCTTGCTCCAGATCTATCTATCTATATATCTATCTATATATATATATATATCTATCTATATATATATATATATGTAAGTCAATGGAATCAGACTTTTTTCAAAGTGATATTGGTCATTTCTTTTGGTCCATTCATCATGAAATTTACACACAGTGTAATGAACAACAGGTATTTTCAAATTATGTCAAAAACTGAAAAATGACAAAAATGGAGATACGAGGTTCGCCAGGGTCCGTTTCAGTGTGTAACAGAGATCAGTGTGAATTATCACCATGCAAATTGTCTAATAATCATTGCTAATTTATCAACATTGTACATTTTAGTCATTTTTTATTCAAGTTTAATGAAGAAATCATGGCAGCTGTGGTTAGTTGTGACTCTTTAATTAATGTGCTTCATCTTGTGGACTGAAAGGGGAAGAAAAGCAGTTTCTAATCCAGCTTGGAGGAGTTGCTTCACTAAACTATGTCAAGCTACTTAGTAACTTCTTGAAATCTGATTAGGCGCTGAAGAAATTCTTTAGCTCTTGTGTTGTGTTTTTGAATGTTGCTTTTCAAGTCGCACTCCTCTTTTGTTTTCCCACCATTGTGTGCGTGGTCAGGACTGGACATCTGACACCAGCACACTGAGATTCATGTGTGTTTCAGAAACACACGTTTCACAGCATTACGTCATGCATTAAGGTCGGCATAACTCCAAAAAGCTTATTTCCAGACAACTGCAAAAAGTTATGCACGTTTTGTTTTTTGTTTTTTTTTTTATTTCAGTTGTGCTTATGACCAAAAGTGGACATTTATGTTTAAAAATAATGTAAAATTTCCCATTCAACTATATATTTAAAAAGTCATTAAGCTTCTGATTGCTTTAATCTGGTGTTTCAGCGCAGGGTTAGAACAAAGTTAAGCCTGGGACAGGCCTCGAGGCAGTGGAGAAAGCCCATTATGCAGAAGGTTGCTGGTTCAAATCCCGGTCAGTGTGACAGGGACAAATGAAGTGGATAGTGGAGGGTGACTGGTTTAAATATGGCAGTCACAGGTTACTGCAAATTTGCCCTCAAGCAAGGCAGCCCCCCAAAAGTATTTCCAGCTTTTCTGAACTACCTCAGGCCCCAGTTTCCCCAGGCCAGCTGCCAAGAACCTCATAATAATGTGGAGTCTTTAAAGGGTCCATGTCACAGAGAGTCTCACTTTAAGTAAAAGAGTTTGATGTGTTCAAGTTTCAGAATGTACTGTTCACTCCTTAGTCCATACAGTCCATATATGAAAACTAAGCTGTTTTGTTACATCACAAAAACACATTTACATAAATCCACCTATTCAGCCTACAGCAGTTTAGTCCTGGTCATTCACACTGATGTTAGTAGAAGTGTTTCAGCCTGAACTGCTTACTGAATGAGGCACAATACAGGAGAGCCAAACAGAACAGAGGTCATTTACACATATGAGTTTTAAAAGCACCATAATGATAATAGTCTGTTTAATTATAAGGATTAAAGAGAGGCTGGATAGTCAGGGAAAAAAAAGAGTTGAGGCTGTTTTTGGTACCACACAAATGTCATACGTGGAAAGGGAAAAAAGGGAGTCCTATTTCTGCCGTCTAATGGACACTAAAATGGAGTCCTACTTGTTGGATAACTTAAGATAAAGCACAAGTGTATGCAGTAATGGAGCATGTGTGAGAGACATGAGGCAGAAAGTGAGGGAGGGTGAAAAGGCACGCAGGAAACTGAAACATATTGTATTAGGTTACATAAAGCCATCTGTCAGAAAGGAAACTCAATAAGAGCAGATAACATGTCTTCAGACAGTTTATGATTACCAAGAATCTGATGAGTCATTTGGTACTAACAGGATATTTTTATGTCTGTCACAGGTCACAGAGAATATCATCTCCAAACACACATTACAAGGTGAGTACCAGACTGCTGCGTGTGATTATTAGCGGTGGGAATCACTAGAGACCCTACGATGACACTAATGATACTAAAGCCACAGTATGCTTCTACTCCAGTTTTTAGAGATTGTTGATCTGCTAAGTTTTGTCAAAGTCAAAGTGTCAAAGTGAACTTTATTGTCATTCAGACTATACAACAAGCAGGGCACAGCTGAACGAGATTGCGTTTCTCCAACTCCAATGTGCAAAATATACATAAATATACCATAAAAGGCAACTCCACATGGACATGCTAGACAGCATAGACAGACATAAAACATACTAATATTGCACATGGTAGAGAAAAAATATTGCACATTGTTCTTAGTGGTATTTTTGTGATGTGACATATAGAGTTATATTGTGATTTATTACTTGTTATGGCAAATTTAGCTCCAAAAGAAAACTTTGTTTTTAGTTTTTACTATGTTATCTCACTGAAGCAAAAGCAAAGTAGACAAAACAACATAAAAGACTTCCTCTATATATTTACACATTTCGCAGATGTTCCTATTTAGAGTACTTTTGCCCACAGACTCTAACTGGCATATTGCAGCTGTGGGAATCAAACCATATGTGGAGTGATTGTGTTATTCACTACATTATCCAACCATTGCTACTGATAGCACCAGTGACAGAAACCTTGGTCTCACCACCAAGAAAAAAAGACTTCATAAGCACCGTCTTCTAGACTTAAGCCATAATTGAGCTGGATTTGTTTTACTTGGGGAGGTTCTGTAATTGTAATGGTGATTACTGATGATATCCATGATTTAAATCCACTACGAAACTGAAGTGCCTGTAGTTTTTACAAGTATGCTAAGTAAACATTCTGGAGCAAATTACTTTCTATAATTCAACAAACTCTGACTCCCCTCAGTAGTAACAGTCCTGTTCAAATTGACAGTATTGTAATAACAAAAAATAAAATGGAGCTTGATTCGAACCAATTCCTTAATCCACACCTTCATGACGAGATTACTGAAATCCACAACATTTTTGGCGATGGCCAAATTACAAGGATAAGGAAAATGTAATATCTTGAAAGTACCTCTCGCAAGGCAATGCATTTTCTGTCTTGCTGGGTGGCATTTGGTCAGTTGAGTGAACCCACTTTACTAGCCTAATGTTAGTCTGTATGCCATTTAGCTGCACATCTTGTTGTTATTGTTCGGAAGTGTGGCACATAACGCTGCATAATGCTGACGTGAACGTCAAATACGCACATATTACATTATCAGACCTCCTCTAGTAAAACTAATCCAACTTGAGCAGAGTTTAAGAAACAATGGTGTCCTATTATTCCCACTAGTGGGCTTAATATAAATGAAAAGTATTAATAATTAAATAATGAAATATTGATATTTGGGCCTCCACCCCTAGTGAACCTGCTGGTTTGGATGTATTGAAAATTGTTATTTGACATCCTGTTATATCACTTTGGTTTTGGCTGATGTGTTTGAATTCTGCACTGATTTTACTCTGTCCTCCCCAGAAGCAAGAACCATGCCTCGCACTTACAACACAACAGGGTCTAAATTTGTGACACAGAGGCCGTCGGCCCACCTTACCCTCAGCAGCCTACAAGGTGAGCTGTGCAGCTCTGCTTTTTTTCTGTCTATTATTCTATGTAGGGCTGCATGATATGGACAATACACTAGTATTGTAATTGTTTGATACATATCAAGATTAGAGCAGGCCGTGCAAAATTAAAAAAACACATTGGTAAAGCAGGAATGTGATGTGGTTACAGATTAGCCTGTGTTATTTTGACCAAAGTAATTTGGTCCAATACTTTTCTTGGAAATTAAGAATGCCTTGATTCATCGAAACACCCACAGAAACCCGTCTGGTCAAGATGTTCACGGCACACAGTAAAAACATTGTGATGGGTTAAAGAGCTCATTTGCATGTTGCAGCTTTCTGTGATATCAGTATTGCCCAGGTCAATATCGTGAGAAGCATTAAAGGGGAATTGTGCCTGCATGATTCAATTGTTCAGGTGTATACAGAGTCATTTAGAGTGGTCTGATGTGAAATGGTGCATTATAGAGAAATTTACTGGCTCAGTCTTCTTGATAATGGTGGTGATTGGAGCCGGGGGTTACAATGTCTACAACTCAACTTTAGCCATTTTATTCATTATCCAAAACAACCAGTAAATCTACACCTCTTCTAAATTTTTATATGTTGATAATGGTAAAATAGTGATAATCCTAAAAAAGCCACATGCAGGGCATTGTTGTTTTCCCTGGATGTACCTCTCTGCCTTTGATATATTTAAAAACATACATTTTAATCCATGCCTCTGGCTTCAGGCAACATACTTATAACCAATTTATGATGTTTCGAGTCTTAAATTGGTTAGGATGTCTGGTTCCTATCACCACCACCGTGAACAATTCTGACTCTGCAATTTTCTCTAGAAAGAAACATTTCACATCAAACCACTCTGAATGCCTTTGTTTACATTTTACAGATTTAATTTAATGCATACATTTTGAAAAATCAGGGGAATTCCACTTTAACAAACAATATATCATGCAGCCCGAATTCTGTGGGGAGAAAAAGAAGCATATGTAGGGGGTGTATTAAAAAGTGTTAAATGAAAATAATCTAAAAGTATATTGAGATAATGTAGTTATGGCTCAAGGGTTAAGTTGCAGTCTAACCCTTTAGTTATAAGAAAGCTTAATAGGTGATCTATGTAACCAGGAAAACCATAAAAACAAGAAGGACAAGCCAAATTGGCTCAGTTTTTACAGCGTGAGTCACAAGTGTGATCATTAAACTAGAAAGCAGTTCACAGCACGCTGCAGTTTCTTTCCCCTCCAGTGTTTTCCTGTTTGATTCTGAACAGATGCACCATAACTCAAAAACATGACTACAGGCATCACTAGATTACTGTATGCCATACAGTATAATAATGGATCACTCACAGATGTCATAAGCTGACGTATTCTGACAAAGTACAAAGAGCTAAAAACGCTGCAGTGCTGAAAACATTTACATCACTGAGCTGGGGTTGAAAAGACCGGGATATTCTAGACATCTGCTGCTCATCTGTGGCCTTCTTGTCCCGTCCCTGTCAGCTTAGGGGAAAGATACATTAGGATTTAGGAATATGAATCAATGGCCAGCTCTTATCTAATCTATTGATCTTCAATGAGGAATGTGACTCTTTATGTTTGTATAACCTCCCACAAGCCCCTTCTCTGTCCCCCACACTCCTTCCTCAGTCTGTTCCCCTTGTTTTGTGCAGGACATACTTCTTTCTGACTCCTATATATCTATACCTTCCTCTAGCTACTCGTCATTAATACACGTCGCTTCCTTATTCTCATCCCTCCTCTGTCCTCCTTATCTCCCTGATGTGCTTCTGTTTTTTCACTTTTCTCTGCACTTGCTTTTTTCCTTCTAAAGTTTGCTTCTTTAGTTTTGCACTGGAGGTAAGAGGCTAATGTAGTTAACAAGTAATGGAAGCTTATACCTCACTAGTTAGCATTGTGCAAACTGCTTGCTTAAATCAGATGTTAATTAAACTCAAATGTACATGCTTATGTGGTAACTGTGGTAACGAAAATACTTCACATAACTATAAAACTGGAGTAGCAGACACCTTGAATTTAGCCCATTCTTTTGTCCATTTTTATAGACAGCGGTAAGTCAAAAAGTGTCAGAAACCACACAAGAAAGTCTGTTTGAGATTACTTAAGAATAGTTTGGATGTTTAGGATGATTTAGGCAGTTTGCACTGTGCTATTTAGTGTGCATTAGCTTCATTACTTGTTAGCTAGATTAGCCTCGTAGCTATGGTGCAAAACTGAAGAGGCAAACTTCAGACACCAAACATGTTTTGGCTAATCGTCTACATTTGAACTAAGGGAAGATAATACAATAATAAGATTTAAAAAGCTATTTGTCTGGGGGGTAAGCATTTATTTGCTCAGAAGAACACTATATTAGAATAAATACAAATAACAGTAGTACAATAAGAAGTGGTTTTATGTATGTCAGTGTGTTTATTTGACCATTTCCAAACCTCTTCTCATGGCAGCACAGTATTATTTTGCAGTTATCATCTAATACCTAGTTTTGCTAATCAGTACATTATGTTAAATCAAGTTTGCTTCTGATGGAATTTAAGAGTTCCTGCGATGGCTGACTAGCTCACAAAATATCAACTTATATATCAAATTCATATTAATTGTTTAACGTGTTTATGTTCATTTGCTACTGGCAGATTTTGCCAAGATAAACGGTTTTAAACAATGTGTTTAGGTGCCTAAGACTTTTGCACAGTACTCTATGTCTTTCTCACAGTTGTACGTGTGCTATGAATCTCTATTTATTGATTGAACATATCTCTTTTTCTTCTCTCCCACCCACCGCATTCCCTTTAGGTGTAACCTCTCTGTATCCCAACCCCCAGCCGGACCTGCACCAGTCTTGCCGCCACCCCGTGCGATCCTGGGCCAACCAGAGCTTTGGGGCGCACCTCCACAACATGACGCTGGCCAACGGGCGCCTTCGTGTGCCTCAGGACGGCCGCTACTACCTGTACGCTCAGGTGTACTTCCGCTATCCATCACCCAGTGAGGGCGAGCAGCACAGCACCAGCCACCAGCTGGTCCAGTGCATCTATAAGAAGACCTCCTACCTGAGGCCCATCCAGCTGCTGAAGGGTGTGGGCACCAAATGCTGGGCACCGGACGCTGAGTACGCCCTGCACTCTGTGTACCAGGGGGGTCTGTTTGAGCTCCGCGCCGGGGACGAGGTGTTTGTGTCCGTTTCCTCTCCATCCATGGTGCACGGGGAGGACTCCTCCAGCTACTTCGGAGCTTTCCGTCTGGACCTGTGAGGGGTAAATTAAAAAGACTGTTCCAAAACTACAATACCCACAAGGCACTGGGAGGATTCTTTTTTTTTTTAAGTTGACCCTGGGAGATGGATTAAACATTGCTTTGTTTATTTTGCCTTTGATCAATCAAGAATTCTTTATATATATATGTGAAGGAAGTGGTTTTCAAGACTTTTGGACACCGTTTATTCTTTTTTTTTTTAAGGCGGAAGAATGTATGTATATTTCTAAAACCACATCAAAGATGTGGATCTTGGAAACGGTAGCAAAAATGAAAAAGGACGGCAAGCATGGCCAGGACTTCGCAAGGCTGCATCTGTGCCAGTCGTGTACACGTCAGATGTTCAGAGGTGAAAACGGAGTTTTTTTCCCTTCACCCAGAGCACGGCGTCTGGGTACATCGGATTTAACACATTTAAAAGAAAGAGAGAGATGTGAGAAGAGAGGGGATGACAGGTGGAATGTGGAGGAAAGAGGAAAGAAGACGAGAGGCATGCAACATTACCGGCCTCGCATGGCTCTGGCAGCCAGCTACAGAGGAGGAATTCACTCTGGCCAGTCCAGCCAGTGGAACAGCATGCTTTCACAGATACAGGCCTAAAAACAGATACCACCAACAGGGATATATATACACATATACGTAATGCAAAAGGCCTTCACTGCAACAAATATATCTTGACAAGTGAAAGCATCTTAAAGGGGAATTTTTTAAAACATTTTTCAATCAAATATAGCCATTTTTATGTATCAGTTAACCTACGTGACTTTTTATATGGAATGTTGATAATGGTAAAGTAATGGTAAATCTGAAAAAAATAGGTTAGAGATAAAACATCCTGCTGTGCCCATTCTGCCATTAATGCCATTTTTTAAAAATGTTTTAGGCCAAAAGCTTAATCTCAGAACTATCATAAAGCAATGTCTTGAGCATCAGGCAGCATATTTATAACTATTTTGTGTATGAACCTCTTTGAGGGAGCTTTTAGATTCTTAAACTCTTCAGACTCCTGGTTCCTATCACCAGCATTGTGAACAGTACTGAAATTTTGCATCAAACCACGAAATGATTTAATTATGTAGAAATTTAGAAAAATCTATGAAATTCCCTTTTAAATTTAGTATTATGTCTAATGTTTCTCATTATGAGCCTGTTGTATATTAGATCATTCTTTTAACTTATTTCAAGTAAGCCTTTCTCGATTACTACATAATTGCCCGATCACAATTATATGAGCCAATCATAATCATTTCAGCTGACCGCAGTCATTTTCCAGTTGTCATATGTTTACGTTGCAACAAACAGAATGTGAAATTGGTGCTTTTTCATCTGTTGGTTGGATGTAAATAAAGAAGAAAGCGCATTTATCGAGAGCACCTAAAATTTGATGGTCAAAAACTAACAAAATTCTGGTGTAGTAACACCTTTAGAGGCTAGCAGTGAGTATTTTTTGAGCTCCAACTACGTCTGTTGTTAGTTCAAAGCTACAGTGGACAGGAAGCTAGATAGCTAGGCAGTTGTCTACTTTAGGTATGCACTTTAAATAGTTGCATATAATGAACAAAAGAAAACAATCAAATAGTTCATCACAATTAGTTATATGGCAATTAACTGGCAGCTAAAATTTCATGATTATCACAGGTTTAATTATAAGTTTTAATTATTTTAAGTTATTTTATGGTGTGAAATGGTGTTATTCCATGTCTTATTTAAAAAAAATCTGATTTCTTCTTACAACAATCCCATAATGACACATTTTAGATATACTGACTACATTGAGAATGCTTTGACATGCCAAGATATTACTTTTTGCAGTGCTTGCAACGCACCGTAAGGCAGAGATGCAGGTGCATGCTGGGATATGTTGATCCTTCCATTAAGTCCTCACAGACTCTTCTATAAATCAAACGCACCAACATGTTTACTTTCACGCTCCAACACAAATCATGTACTCCCACTCTAGGCCTACTTTCTGAAAGCAGACACGCCTCATTCGCACAAACACAGGCTCGTGCCCTTACATGACTGGCTGTTGGTCATCTGTGATAAATATTAAAAAAAACAAAAAAAACAACTTGCTCCTCGCTCTTTGGTCCATGTGTGGTCAAAGTCCTAGGAAAGGTTAAACAAACAGGGTGCCGCACTGTTTAAATGTCACACACCCGCCGTCTTTTAATGCTTTGTTTTTTTCTTAAGCTGCGCACGAGCGCACACACGTAGAAACACACGATGTCACATGGATGTGGATGTAAATTCCCTCTCTCTCTCTCTCTTTCTCTCTCTCTCTCTTTTACTTTTAGTCTGTTTGGTTGTACCTGTGTATATATACAGCAGTATGCTATTTAATTCTTTAATTTGTCTCATATATTGGGAGTGAATGTATAGCAGTCCAGTCACCTCCAACCTTCTGACTGAGGCTTTGGAATCTGTGTGGCAGATTCATAAATTGTCCTATCCATGCTCCACAAATGCATTCTTTCATGGCAGCTGATGCTTGGTCAGACAACCTTTGCAGAACTCTGACAAAATTCCATTCAACCCAATGGGAATATGTAGTACACAACTTGTCAAATCACCTAAACTTAGGGTGTATTATTAATTTCCAATGGTTTATTTTGTATACACTGGCCCCAAAAATGTATTTGGACATTTGTGCCATACTTAAAATGCATTACATTCAATGTGATAGGAAACAAAACGTCAAACCAAGTTGCATTTATTTTAAATGTACTGTTCCAAGACTATAATTTTCTTATTGTTTGAGCCTTTTCTTTGCAATATTATTATTGTTTGAGCTATTTCTGCTGCAGTTTTGCACTTCAAAGTTCATGATCCCATCAGTGAACACAAGCTCAGCAACACCAATATAAGAAAATGAGCCCAGGACTTACAGTTTCCACCTCTGTGCTTTGCATCACTCTTAGTGGAGTCTGGTTGGAATTCTTCTCCAGGTTTCTCCACATAAAGAGTCAACCCTCAGTCTGATGTTGTTCTGAAAGTGTTTCTCTCTGAAACAAATACCATTTTGTCAAACATTTAAGGAAGTACCCTAAAGAACTTCATTGGTCAAACAGTTAAAGTGTCAAAATACTTTTGGAGGTCACTAACTGGTCACACTCTTAGGACAGATCTGTGTAGTTTATTTGTCATGTAAAGACCTAACATAAGGCTGCAGCCTAACAAAGATATAAACAAAGATCTAAATATCTCATTGGGTTTAATGGGCTCTGCGTTCTGTAAAGCTTATCCAACCTCAACAGTTGCTATGAAGGAACACATTTGTGGGCGGAGCGGTCAGTTAGCCTCCTGCTCAAGTCAAAGGTTTAAAGGATATTGTGCGAGCAAAGGATGACTGTAAACAAGAGGAAAAATGAACAGCTCGGTGAAGGCCAGCCAGCGTCTCTGCCAATACATGCCGTTTGATGGACAAGAGAGCAGGGGTGCGGCCATAACTCTCCAGTTTGAATGGCCAAAAGCATTAAGTCTGGTCACAATGGTGGTTGAACAAAAGGCCCAGTTGGACCTCACTGTAAAATGTAAATGGGTTATTTTTCTTCCCCTCCTTACTGGACTCCAGCCCTTCAGCTTTCTCTGATAAAGCCACTATTCCACAGGGGCCTGTACCAATACACAATGCACACAGTTGGAGGTATTTGCCTTCCTTTCCTGTGGACTCTGCTACGAGCCATGCTAGACGTTGTATATAAATCACTGACTCCATCCGTCAACTGCAGCAGTCCAGTCTGGCTCGACATCTTGGAAAGGGCAAACACGCGCCATCAGCAAGACGTATTGTGCAACAGGCATTAACCATTAGACTCAGTATGATGAAGAACGTCACTCATCATAGATGCCAACGCTACGCTGGTTTGAGCATGTTACCAGGCAAGGCTGTCGGACAAATCCTCTCGAATTTATTCCTGTGTATTACAAATGAGTTTGCAGAGTTTGAATGCAAACAGACTACCACAGCTTTAAAAGTGTGCTATGATGGATACCACTAGTGCTCTATAAGAACTGCAATCCTTGTGCCTGGATTTGTGTAGAAGCTGACTTTCTTGTGCAGTTGTAAAAGAGAGTTGGCAAATTCAAGTATGCAACAGGCCAGAAGTATGGAAGCAAGCAGTTTCAAAAATATTTTACACTGAAGTTAGTTTGCCTACAACCAGTGCAGCACACATTTACCAAAGACATTTTTCAAGAATATTCCACTAGGTTTCAGTAAAATACTCCTAATCTAACATACTCTATGGGAAATACCTTCACTCTATGTTAATCATTGTCTCTTATATTGTCTAGTTTTGAATTATTTACGAACTCCTAATTTAACACACACCTGATTCAGTTCATCAGGCCTTCAGGACCATCTGAAAGTGAGAATCAGGTGGATCTAATAAGAGCTTCTCAGCAGAAGAATCACCAGCTGCGAAACAAATGATGACTCAGACAATACTGCTGAAGACATTTAGTTCTTGTTTACACCTTGCATCAACATGTTTCATGTCTGGATCGTACTTTGGCCAAGCTCTGTTTCCACTTTTCATAAAAATGCATTTCCAGTGTGACAAGGTGAGAACCAATTTCACCTTCCTGCATAAAAAGCACTTCAGCACATACATTGTTCCCGTTTAGCTCCATTTGTGTTTATACCTGTTAGTATAATAAAGCTTGTGCAAGAAGGCACTCTGTTCTGTGATAACTCCAGCCGGGCATATCCCCATATAGACCACGATCCAAGGATGGATCATGGTCTCACAGTGCCCCCCACCTCCACACTGTGACAATAACGCAAAAACTAACAGGAAAAAAACTGCATCTGAAAATAACCTTATTAGCAGCTCATGTTTATGTCACTTTGAACAGCGTGAACAAACAAAATTATTGTATGTACAATTTTGAATTAAGGGGGCTTTTGATTATTTTAAAATATGAGGCCCCCTGAGTCCCCTGGCAATCCAAGGGCCCCGGGCACTGGCCCCACTGGTCAGTAATCCATCCCTGTCTGTCTTGCATCCCCTTGTTTATCCTTTCACCTGCTAGTCAGCACTCAGCAGACGCATTTCTGCTCCCGTAATTGTATGCAGATACAGAAATCACACTTAAGGTACAAACGTCTTAAATGTGGTCAAGATCCATCTCTGACCACCTCCAAACGTAGTTTAAGTGATCTGATCGCAGCCTGATCACAATGGTGTATTTACATGCAATCAAGTAAAATCCAAATGTGATCCGATCACTGAAAACACGTTGACGCAATGGTGTAAACAGCCTCTTAGTCAAACCTTTTGGTTAAACATAGATGAGCAATAAATCTCTACTTGTGAAAAAAGAACATTGTTTGCAATTGTTGCTTCCAAACGTTTGGCCTGAAGTATAAGTTTAAAGGGAAACCTTAAATGTTAGGAGGCTTTCAGCTTCAGATAAAAC